AGATGTGTATAAGAGTGAAACCGTGATGCAATGGTTTTCCGTAAGGTCTTCACCAGTCATAACTTCTTTGCCATCTATATAATAATTTATTGTTTGACAGAATTATAAAACTTCTTAATAGGCTTACATAACATTGCTTTACAACGGCTGGTACGCAAAATACAACACACTTGTGGGAATCATTATCATTTCCTCGCACTACAGGTGTTGGCGAACAAATGCGCTGCTGCGTATCGCCAAGGTGAAAATGCTTTCCTAAAGTAGTCGCATCTCTTTGATGTCACTAAAAAAAATTGTGTTATTGTATCCCTGCCGTGTAAGGCCTGAAGGCTAATGCATATTTTATATCAGAAAAATTTTGAAAAAATAATGAAATAAATAGTCCCATAAATCCCAATAACATTATAATGGATCAATGTGCATTTTTGTCTGCCTCTTGACACTCCTTTTGAAATGGACCTTTCCGCTAAGCCCCGCCCCTTGGATATTGTTGCTAAGGTCACACGCGATCGTGTTAAAACATACGCATGTGCTTGTCAGACACGCGCGTATTCCTGCCCCTGTTCTGATTGGTTAGTTGTTAAATTTGATTGACAATCTGGAAAGGTCCATTTTGACACGTGGCCACCTTGAGGGAAAGATGTCCTCGTCTTGTCAATCATTATGATCAAAATCATCAAACATAAATTGGTCACGTGAATAGGATTTACATTAACCAGACACTGTGAATTTTTCATGCAGGCACATTTTGTGAACAAAGTATTCATATTAAGCACTTTAGCTGTCTGTCTTCACTCATAAGTGGTCGGCATCCTTACATCGGTTAATCAAAGCCACATTGTATATATTATCTACAATGACTCAATACCCTCTGCCAAATAATAAGCCTATATAATATTTTACATTCATTTTATCAGGAAAACGAAACTAATTTGAATATTATTTTATTGAAACCAAGATTTGAACAAATGCTTGTTGCAGAGATCGTAAAAATAATTTTAAAAAAATCAATAGTAATAAACACAATCACATTGTGTGCAGCAATTGTTGATGCAGGAGAGTAAACTTAAAGATAAGTCTATTAACGAGATCTGCAAACAAGGTCTGAAGGGTTTGTGTGATTTCCTATGAGTATAATATCATTTGTTGATGACTCAGACCCCTTATTTCCTAATCAAATGACACTAGTAGGAAACTCACAGAAGCGAAACGTCAGACGAAGAATATTGTCCACAAACACATGCAACTTGTTGAACGCGTAGAAGCAAGAGACAAGAAAACTTACGTATTCTAGAGCCTGTTGCGATTAAACCTCGAACGAAGGTAAGTCAAACCAAAAGTGGTTTTATTTTCTCGTTTAATTCTCAACTTGACACATCTGTGTCAGTGACATTATGTCATAGACACACTGATGCTGTCTATAATCCTATTGAGAAAAAAAATACATTTCGAAGAAACGTTATACAAATTGTATTACTGTGACAGTTGTAAACGTACAGGCATTCACCTAGGAATAGTTCTATTTTATATGAACTATCTGTCTGAACAAATAAAAGTCTATTGGTGGATTTTTATTATTCAGATACTTTAACAGTAATCATATTGTAATGTACGCTTTAATCAATATATCACATTGGGATTTATGTATTTTTCGTATTAGGACAACTGAACGTTAACCCACTTTCTCTGATACTTAATTTAAATTATATGGTGACATCACTCATATTGTACAATCTGCGTTTAATATTCAACAGAGTGTCTGACAGCAGCGATGGATGACACACTTTCAGAACTATTGACGTGTCCAAGTTGTTCCGAGATGTTCGACAACACCTTAGATATCAAGCAACCGAAGGTTCTCCCGTGTCAGCATGTATTCTGCCTCGGTTGCCTACAAGGTTTAAATCTCGAGAAGAGAACCTTAGACAGTGGTCTGGACCTAAGCCTCTCAGAAACCTCTCCATCCCCATTTGACGAGAGCCTCCAGGCCCTTTATTGTCAATGTCCAAGTTGTAGCAAGAAACATCGCGTACCACATGATGATGTAAGCAATTTTGATAACAGCATTGTCCATGATAAACTTCTTGAGAGCTGTAAGACCAAGAAGCTTCATACCCAGGAGCCGCGGTCTGAAACCGACGAATTGATAACTTTCTTGAAAAGAGCTCAAAGTAAACTTCAGAAAAAAATTGGATCGTTCGATGCAAAATTCAAACAGAAACTTGTCGATTTGCAAAGTTACTGCGATGCTAACAAAGAAGAAGTAAAAGCAAAAATGGAAGAACTTGTAGAGGTAATCCACAAGACAGAGGCAAGTCTATTCAAAGAAATTGATAAATACCACGAAACGGAGGAAAAGAAACTAAAGGACACACATGAAGCCGCGCTGGAACGCGTCAAGCATGCAAAAGAACTCTCGGAAAATGTCAACGAAGCGCTGACGGGCTCGCAGCCGAAAACTGCTGTGCATCTGACGAAAGTTCTTGGTGACACGTTATCCACGTGTGATGATATCGAAGGCCTAACTGAAAACGTTCCAGACCCATCTTTATCTAGCTTTGAGTGCAATATTGAAGATCTTAAACAGTCGATTACATCACTTGGAGGAGAAACCAACGTGGAGATGAATCCGGACGAAAAAGAGTTCTCGAAAGGTCAGGAAGAGAACGATAAACAAGAAGAGGTGCTTCAATGCAAAGCCGAGGAGTTGAAGGAGGCCGTTCTAGTTAAAGATATTAATGATCCCTTACCGGCATACCCTATACTATCCGTTAACAGTAAATGGGCCACTTAATGATCTGTCACCCACATTGAAGGATGTAGTTAGGAAATTGAAAGATGTTTTCAGGAAGTTTTAACATTGTAAATCGCTTAATTTGACTTGTTTTCTTCCTATAGTCTAGTTACTGAAACGTATGACCTTTGTATCTAGTATGTATTAATGCCTCAAATTCGTGGTATTTTGTGACATGTTTATGATCTGCGGCTACTTGATATTATTTGTTCGTATCATTTCAACTACGTATTCCACAGAAGAAAAATGTCATATGTTCTAATCATTATAAATGGACAGAGAAGTCATAATTACGTTTAATATCACTTTTTATCTCTTCTTTCTGTTGACTCAATAAATACGTATCAAAATTTAATTTGTTGAGTTCGTCTCCATTAATGTTTCTTTTCCTATAAATTTGGCAATAATTGAATAGTAATGCGTTTATTCACATTTCATTATTGATACTAATGGATCCTTTTTTTTTTATGGAGGAAAACAAACGTAACCTTAACATGGACTGTATATTTGTCTGTTTTACTTAGTTTTATGGACAGAATACGTAGGTCTACAGACAGTATCGTGGTGTTGTCTGATAGGCCTAGCATTAATTTATATTATTAATCATATCTTAAAAGGATGTCTTCCGCTAAGGAACTAGTCTAGGCGCGCTCTGCTCAAGAGATCAATGTAGTTGCTTTCCACAAATTGTAAGCCTATACAAGTGTTGTACCAAAATACTCTTAAATGTATTTGTTTTTGGTTTAACCATACTTCAACAGTTTAGCCTACTTTTATTACGTACCCATCTCTTGGGGGTTTTTTTTAGTCCCTATCAGGTTGAAGCCATTGGTACAGTAAGTGTTCTACTTATTAAACCCTCTTTATTTTGTAAATCCTTCCTGGTACCTTTCTAGTTTTTTTTTTTTAAATAGTAAGGTTTCCTTCCAGTTGAGTTTCTTGTATCATAGTAAGTTGAAATACCAATGCCAGTATTTGTTTCGTTCTTTTGATTATTCCGATGTCCAACTGAAATCCCATAAGCGTTCGCTTAATGGTTACAACCCTTCAACTAATTGGAAAATCTTACCCCAAATACTTTACTTTTGGCAAAGCTTCATATTTTTTCTAGAACAACTTCGTGCAATTCTTTTTTCTCTGACTCATCACTTTAATGTGACTTTTTATCAAGCGACCTACTTAAAAGCTGACATTTATTAAGTGTTTTAAATCGTATAAAACGAACACAAATAATGTGTCCGTTTCTATAGGACTCTTAAAAAAAGCCATACACATTCATCGTTACATTTGTTTATATAATGGTCTATGCAACACGATCTGTTGATGTTTAAAGGAATTTTTCTTCTATTTAGCGAATTCTTAGGACTGGTGATATTTGAAGAGGTATTTAGACAGCATTCTACAGTGTTAAGTTTTCACATCTTGGCTTAATATCAATCGTCTCCTTACTTAAACTCGTTAACACAAGAAGCTGCAAAATAAATAACTAATGGATAATTTCAATTCGGGATTTCGTGAAGACGTTTTTCAAAACGAGGATCTAAATGAAAATTCATAAATATTTTCAAATACTCTTTGTCCGACGATTACTTAGCCGGGCACTCACTGCTCCTACGCGATTCTATGGAGAACACAACGTCACGACGCGCTCGCAACGGATCGGTTTTAATGACGATCAACTCAGACTGGCATCGACAATCAACAGACGGTGGGCGTCGTGCCGTTTAGCGCTCACAGGACGATTACTCTTTGTCCGACGGGTGGGGTGGATTTGGATTCGTTCGTACGACGCTGGTACGACCGTCGTACGACGAGGTGAGTGCCCGGCTTTAAATGTAAAAAGACACTGGATACACTATACAATTGACTACTTTTGTTTTTGTTGTTTGATTATTATTATTATTATTATTATTATTATTATTATCATCATCATCATCATCATCATTATCATTATTATTATTATTATTATTATTATTATTATTATTATTATTATTATTATTATTATTGGGGGCGGGTCACTTCTAAGCCTTCATTTTAGGCCAATTGTTTTCGTTAATTATCTCGTTTTTTATGGGATTATGGCATATATGATACTCGTTATGTCGCGCAAATTGCGTAGATCCCATAGGCAATGCTGTATAATATTGTGTTATAGACTTTGTAAGCCTGGCCTATATCCAATGGAACATAATTATCAATAATGTCCTGCTGTGTTCCATAACATTTCTTGCTTTTGTCCCATTTGTAGGCCTACAGCTCTACATTTCCTGATCTGTGAGGTTCTATTGCTTTTATCAATATAACTTCTGTTATTATTATCATCGTCATCATTCATCATCTAGAATCCCCATCGCTGCCTCTCCTTGTATTTCAGCTGGAGGTCTGAAATACAAGTTAGAATAGCGCACAGTCTTTTGGATGAGACGTTTAAGCTGTTGGTCCCGTGTCCATTAAATATGGCCCATGTGCACGTTAAAGAACGCAGTTACACTCTTCGGAAAAGAGTAGGGGATTGTCTAAATCTGCCACTACCCAATGACCACCAGAAGGACCCAAATGGAAATAGACTTTTGTGGGCTATCACTGATTTTTACACCGAATAAATCCAATCCAATCCATCAATTTCACCATGATCATAGTCATTATTATCATCATAATCATCAGCACTACCGTCATCACAACCATTTTTATCATCGCCTCTCCACACCACACCACTACTACCACCATTATCATAAGTACTATCATCATCATCATCCTAATCATCATCACTGTTGTTAATATGTTAATTTTTTCCGCTAATTGTTTATCCTCGTGGCAAAATACGGTACGCATAATAAAAACAGCAGTCAAAGAAGAAGAGATGAAGAAGATGATGACGGACGATGACGACGATGATAATGATGGTGATGATGCTGACAATGATAATAATGATAATGAGGATTATGCTTATAGATACGTTAATATAGTAAGTGTTATTAATTATACCGATGAGTGACACACTCGTCGTTATTGATTTTCATAAAAATATTTAATTATATTTAATTCATAGACCCATATAGGCACACCTACGAATATATCAACCAAAACTTTCCTTAGCCACACTGCGTATCGGCTAGGCGTACAGCTAGGCCTAGACGAGAGCTACGGTACGGTAAAACAAAGCAAAATAAGGGTACTAATTTCACTTGGCATGCAAACCAATCATACTTACACACTTACAAACAAATTAATCTACCAATAAAATCACTTGCAAGTTAAGATATAAGGCAAGTATGTCTACAAATTTGATTTTAAATTGATGTGATTTTGTTTTGTAGTATTACAATGAACATCACACAGGCTAGCCTAGGCCATGTCTAACCGCTTATAAAAATGCAGAAAAAAGACCCAAAACAAATTAGAGTGAATTTATCAACTAACTAGTGAATTAAAATTATTCATATACTTACTACTTACTTATATAAAATTAAAATGTAGACCTATTGCTCACAAACGCCAATAATAAACATCTTGAAGTGATGACAAACAGCCTAAGTCAGTGGTGCGTAACAAACAAAAATAAGATAAACTAGGCCTAGCTGTTGTACGCCTAGCCGATACGCAGTGTGGCTAAGGAAAGTTTTCGTTTTCTGAGCATGTGCAGATTGTGCTTATCTGGCTCATTAGCATAACAATACCGCACATAAGGCTAATTCAAGTTAGACGGCTTAAACCAGCCAGCTTCCTATCCTGGTAACAGTTAAAAGTCCTTGGTGAAACAAGGGCACTACGATAGTGATTCCCTGCGCAGCCATTGTGCCCACTGCGCACAATTACCACCAGTTTTAACGATAATTTAATGGACTTAACCAACTGTGAGCTCCTTATCGAAATTTGATGATGAGTATTAATGATAGAGGGCGTGGTAGTGCAGCCGAAGGATTAAACTTCAGGACAAACATTTGTACGTTCCCTGATTCAAATACTGTGCCAAATTTGTGTGTGTCATAAACTAAACAAATTGATTCGTCCTTTGGATTATCAACGTAATCATTTCCCATCCGAAAGACAAAGCAATTTTGTTAACTTGTCTTTTGGATGCGACATTAGGACGTTTATCTTGAAGAAATTGATTATACCCAAAATTCAAGTATGATTATCGACTTTGTTTGTTGATCCGTACTTACATTTTATTATTCAAAACAGACCTAATACGTAAGATCATAATGGTATTACGTCATGTGGTCGAACATCGTGCAACTTACGCTTAGTAATAGACAAGCGCGGGATTCAAGGTATTACCATGGTATTACAATCATTATCTCTGTCGCAGGTAAAACTGACCGGAGCAAAGTGCCCGTGGTTAGTCTATATTAGCGATAAAGCTAATGATTTTGAAAACATAATAATAACCATGCTTGAGCAAAATATCAGAGTGCTCTAGAAGACCTTTTCGTTTGTTTCTCGCAGCGGTTGCTATCGTTTAATTGATGAGTTTTGCCGCAGTTCCTTAATTAACTCTGCACACGAAATGACCGCGTTCCTACTTAGGATAAAGTTTGCAATCACTCAAAATGCGCGCTCGTTTTCTTATGCACAGACAGCCTATAAACGGAACCGAGAGTTAGATTAAACTAAATCCAAACGTCATTTCCTTGTAAACTCTTCGTAATACACTGATTTTCGAGCTCGATCTGCACAGTTTTTCAAGTATGTATCTTTCACCTTAGCCATAGTTAGTTGTGTCATTGAGTTTACCGCCGCCTTCTGTACAAAATCTTTGACAAGATGTCGAGTACCCATATCTAGGAGCGTCATTGATACATCAAGAGGCATACGATTAAATGACAATAAGCAGATTAGAGAAAAAAAGCATTAAAACCAACATTAAAACACCTGACCTTCAGCAAAATAATTGCCAATAATGGAGGACTGACTGAATCTAATCAGTGCGACAATTAAGGGGGTCGGTGATAATTAATGTTATTCACTCTTAGAACGAACGAAATTTGCTTGTTAAAATAGCGCAACGAGATTATGATTCGCCTTTCTCTGTTCTCATTATAGGCATATATGACAAAATGAATATATATGTATGTATTTTCCGGGAAATTGATTGATGGATTGATTGATTGATTTAATGCTGAGGATGATGACGTAGAAGGTAATAAAGATGTTGTGTTGATGATTTATTCATTCAATATTTATTATTATTGAGATTGATGCTGCTGATGATGATAAATATGAGGATGATGATGAGGAGTAAGGATAATTGTGGCGATGAATTTATAATAAAGAAGATGCATTAATGATGATATTGATGGTGTTGTTCGTGGTAACGGCGACAACAACCATGACAATTATGGTGGATGATTATTAATA